ATTTGCCCAAATAACGAGCAGTGTCTGGGTCTTCGTCTAGGTGGGTCTGGGGCAGCTGCACCTGCACGGAGGACGAGGGGTGGAGCAGAATCATGAGGTACAATAGTGTTCTCCACCTGTGTGGGCCTTCCTGTGCTGGGTGGTAACAAGCAGTGGCTGATATGGGCTACAGACTTTTCAGTATTCATGATGAGCATCACTTTCAAGCTGTTGCATGAGGCAGTTTTCCTAATGTGATGTGATTTTTGTTGTGCTTTTTTAAATTATCTATATTTCCAAATGCTGTGAGCGGTGTGAATGGTTACGAGCACCTAATTCTGACCACCCACCTGTGTGCTGCCCACAGAGGGCCTTTAAGTACTTCAGCCAGGCAGCGAGAGCCGGGAACGGTCACGCCATGGCCTTCCTGGGAAAGGTATGCTCTGCTCCCCATGGGTCTCTGGGATCTGTAGGAGTGTTCTGGGTGGTGGACGCCTGTATGGGTGCGGTGATGGTCGACTGTTTGGAGCTCACACTCTCTAAATGGGGGAGAAGGGGATCTCAGAGTATAAACTCAAACATTGTGTACGAAAATGGTGAGTGTTTAAGACAATGTCACGGACCTGCCATCCTGCGGTCACATGGTAGTCTCTTCCCTCTCCCACAGATGTACACGGAAGGCAGCAGTGTGACCCCCCAGAACAATGAGACTGCCCTGCACTACTTAAAGAAGGCAGCTGAGCTTGTGAGTGATCCCCTTAAGCAGCCACATGGGTGCCCCCCCCAATGAGACCTGAGCTTCTCTCCGTCTCTCCTCACAGGGCGACCCAGTGGGGCAAAGTGGGCTCGGCATGGCTTATCTACACGGCAGGGGCGTGCCTGTGGTGGGTGTCTGTAAGCCTAGCGGGATGCTACCCGTAAACGTGAGCCTGTTCTGGCTTAATCCTGCCCGGTGTAGCTGCAGGCATGGAGCCCGTTTTGCTGATGCGTCGATGCGTGCGCCTGTTCTGTACAGGACTTCGACTTGGCGCTGCAGTACTTCCAGAAGGCAGCAGAGCAGGGCTGGGTAGATGGACAGCTGCAGCTGGGTACCATGTACTACAGTGAGTGTTGTCTGTGGCGTCTGTTTCCCTTGAGGTCCGTCTGTGTGCGGTTGGCTGGGTGCCACATACTTATGTGCACGAGAGAGAGAGAGCCAGCCAGCCATTGCCAAGACTTTGCCAGAAACGGCCAAAAGCATAGTACATAAAAGCAATAGCCCAGGATTAAGTAAATGAAACCAGTCCAAGTAATGTCTGGGTTGAGGATCGGTTAGTTGATAAAAAGACGCATTACCCATGTGGGAAATTTCCCTCCTCAGCAGTCTAGCAGGAAGTGAGGGGGGGGTTTATGTTTTTGACTCCTGAGCAGACTGCCCTTCCTTTGCGCTATAGATGGCCTTGGTGTGGAGCATGACTACAAGCAGGCGCTGAAGTACTTCACTTTGGCGTCGCAAGCTGGTCACACGCTGGCGTTCCACAGCCTGGCCGAGATGCACGCCGCGGGCACCGGGGTCATGCGCTCCTGCCACACGGCCGTGGAGGTGGGCTACCTGGGCGGGGTGGGGGGGAAGGGACAGGTGGTGTATGAGGTTAATTGCTTGAATGTTTGTCAGGGTATGAGGATCTGAAGATGTGTGATCAGAATGTTGTAAGGTCAAATCCCAGGAGGAGAAATGCCGTAATCTTAGGACCAGTACTTTTTCTAATTAATCTAGTATTACTTAATGTGTGAAGTGCATACCTGTGTATATAGTGATTTATAACTTGCTGTTAGACCATGACTTCCTTGGATGTGAGGGCATAATGTTGCTTAGCTCTCTCTCTCCTCTCTCTCTCAGCTGTTTAAGAATGTGTGTGAGCGCGGCCGATGGGCAAACAGGCTCATGGTGGCTTACAGGAACTTCAAGGAGGGCAATGTGGATGCTGCAGTGGCGCAGTACCTGCTGCTGGCCGAGCAGGGTTACGAGGTCGCCCAGAGCAACGTGGCCTTTATTTTCGAACAAAGTATGTCCGGCAAATGCACTATAGTATGCTTGACACAAGGGGGCAGTGTTTCATTACCTCTTGGTTTCAGTATAATTATGGTGGGTGGGTATGTGTGTGTGGGACATTTTTCAGTTTAAACTCTGATTTATGTAAACATTTGGAGCTGTTGAGTTACACGTCTGCACGCTATGTTTCCCCTGCTCGTTCTGAAACAGGACGAATGAAGCTTTTTCCTGAGAGTGAGATGTCCCCACGAGCCCTGCTGTACTGGAGCAGAGCTGCCAATCAGGGTAGGGTAGGAGCCCGTCTGCAGCTCTAAGCTCCATTCTAAGCTTTGTTGCGGGTGTGAGTGTAGTTTTCCAGTTCTTTAATTCCACTGCTTGCACTCTTGAATTGGATGATCAGTAGGAATGAAAATAGGAGAAAAGCAGTGGTCTGTGGGATTTAGGGTATACTTAGTGTCAGATGGGTAACGCATCACTGGGCCGTTAAATCGCACCGGTTTCAGATGGGATCATTGGTTCTTGTACTGGTCTGCAGCTCATGTTGCTTTTCTGCCCTGAGTCATCTGTTTTTTTCGATGCATCTGATTTTGATTGGTCAGCACATTATCTTGTATCCCCTGGTGACAGGCTACACGGTGGCCAGGATAAAGGTGGGGGATTACCACTACTACGGGTATGGCACGGAGGCGGACTACGAGACGGCGGCCATGCACTACCGGCTGGCCTCTGAGCAGCAGCACAGCGCCCAGGCCATGTTCAACCTGGGGTACATGCATGAGGAGGGCCTGGGCGTCAAGCAGGTGGGCACACACACACACACACACACACACAGACCTGCACACACACTTTGTCCGCAGTCTTTCGCCACGCTCTAGCCTCTTCCTGATCACGCCCTCCAACGTGCAGGACGTCTACCTGGCCAAACGCTTCTACGACATGGCAGGAGAGGCCAGCGCCGACGCCCAGGTGCCCGTCTACCTGGCACTGAGCAAGCTGACGCTCCTGAACCACGTGAAGTACCTGCAGGGACTGGATGTGAGTCTGCCGGAAGATCTGCCTTATCAGGTCCTTTTTAAAGACCGTAGAACTTCATCCGAGCTGCATCTGCATGGATGATTGGATGTGTATAGCTTGAAGTGACAGACATGACTGACCTGTTTATTTTCACCATTGTAGTCAGATGTTTGTACACACACACACACACACACACACACACACAATACACACACACACACAATACACCCACCCTCACCTGGCCAGAGTCCCACCTGTTGCTGTCTGCCTGCAGGTGAAGGAGCTCTTGTCTTGGGTGGAATTGGACGAGCTATTGGGTCCGGAATGGGACCTTTACATCATGACTGTTCTGGCCCTGCTGCTGGGAACCATCATTGCTTACCGCCAGGGGCAGCAGCTGGCTGGCCTGAGGCCTTTGGGCCAGCGCGGGGTCCCTCCTGACCAGCCCCAGGAGGGGGTCCGGGGTCAGCCTCAGCCCTGAGGAACCTTGGGAACTTTCATTTTGTCAGTATGGAACATGCAGTGGAACGCTGGATCTACCTGTCAAATAACTGGAGATTTTCAGAACATATCTCAGGGTTTTTGGATCTGTCTGCTTCTTGACTCCTCTTGGGAACAGGCTTATGACAAAGGCTTGTGCTGTCCACTCCGCAGCTGCTCATCCTAATATGTGTAAGATCCATAGATTTGAAGTAGACATCAAGTATTAGTATATGGTCCTGTCCTGAGCCACAGATCAAATTTGTGTTTTTGCCATTGTACAGTGTGGTTCTCATATTCTATGAGCTTATCTTACAATGCTTCCTAAATTGATGGCATTGTGTTTGTATTATTGCCCCCTTTCACCAAGAGGGGCAGGACCAGTGGCCTCATGCATTTTATTAGCTCAGCAAGAGAGAGATTGGTAACGTGGGTTTCTGAAAGCCTTTTGTGCCAAGTGCCCCATTGGGGGAAGATCATCTTGCCTCTAAGGAATTGAAATAACATTGAGTTGATGGCATTCCAGGTTAGTTCATTCATGTTCTTGTATCAACAGCTGGTACCAGACCAGTGGTCCAGTGTGTAAGATGGAACTTGTCATAACTACTGATGGGGATTTGAGAAATAAATGTTATATTCCACTGTGGTGTTTACAGGTCACTGAGTAAAATGTCACGTCAAGTTCACTGTCTAATTTGTGCTGCAGAGATTTACAGCACTTGGTGAGGTGCATTATGGGAAGGGTGCCTTTTATTATTCTTTGTGTATTGTTTGTATTCTCATATTGTACTTCTGAGAGAAATGGATGGTTGTTCCGGTTGTTAAATTTCTCGTTGCCGCTTTTTAAAGAACATGGTTTAGGAAGATATACATACTGTAAGCTTTATAACTAATAGACTGCACACTCATTTTGATGGGAATACTTTTTATGATATTTTAAATGCTAATATGGGCTCAGAAGTACATTTTCGGGACTTTTCTTGATGTGAACACTTCAATGGAAATTAAAGAGGTCTGTACATGGACTGTGTGTTTCACCACTCCTACTTGTATTCTGGGAATAACTTCCTTGCTTCTACTCTGAGTTGCTGTTACTTTTGAACAGGAAACTAATAAAGCAAAACAAACCAGCAAATTTGTTTACAGTGTGTTTCTCTACCCTTCAGGGGGAAGCTCAGGAGGCGGGGCACCAACCATGCGTGTGACAGCACTAAGGACAGGAGATAATTGGTGGGTGGGAGATGATCAGATATGTAAGGGATAATGTACAGGCAGCCGGTAGTTATCGCAGAAATAAGCCCCGACAGTGTGATCAGGACCCGACGCGAAGCGGACATACCACATAAGGAAAAAAACTGGACATGAATATGAATTTGAAACATTTTATTGGCATATTTGTTTTAAATTAACATTTTTAAACGGTAATCTTTGTTGGCGCGGAGGGGTTTTAAACATACAAGTAGTACCGGCTATGCGTTATTACTTTGGAGCGGTTATTATTTGAAAAGAACGAACCTGCAAATGTCTCAACTGACCAATCAGAATCAAGCATTCCAGAGAGCCGTGTAATAAGTCATTATAATTAGCTTTCCTTATCAATGAGGTTAATTTTTAGCTGCATTAGGTTGACGTGACTGGTTACACAGATTTCTTGTATTAAGTCAGATCATCTTTTACACCTCTGCATTTGCAGGGTTCTTGTCATAAGCAAGCACTGCTATATTTGCCTTAAATATAGGTCTCTGCCTGCTGTCTGACAGCTCTGAGAATTAGCACTTCATAAAGCTTTTAGCTTATCCTGTTCTTCCTCTTGATCAGCATGCATGCCTTTTTGTTTGATGGACTTTGGCACCCGGTTAGTGTAGTCTGGACCTTATAAAGACTCCGGCACATTTAGGCCCAACACTGTGAGACTCGCTTTCTTTGCCCTTCTCCTGGAGCAATGACGTGGATTCATTTCGCAGTGGTGATCAGTCTTCTTGGCTCCTGCTCAGTCCAGAGTAAGTAGAAGTAGATGATAGGTGTGTGTTTGTCCTACCGATCACTTACCACATGTTTCTTCTATGTTTTTTTTATTTTTACTCTTCGGAACAAATAGGGAAAAGTGTGAATTTTGGGGTTGTCCTGCACTGAGTTTTTTTCCCCATTTCACAAATGTGTTCCTGACTGGCATATTAAACGTTTGCTTTGACATCTATCTCTTGTAATCTTGAATCTCACCTTGTCACCTAGGTTACGAATGGGAGCAGCACTATGAGGATCTGAAGAAACTGTACAGCGAGAAGGTGCTCAGTGAGGTAGCTGTGTTGCTCCTCTCCACTACCCACAATCCATCTCTCTTACTACTGTCTTCTACCCACAATCCAGCTTGTTTTCCGTGATGTAGAGCTACACTGCTAAAGGGCTTCCAGACCTCACCTCAGCATGAACTGTTTTGCTGTGCTGTTGGGGAAAAAACCCCATAGTGCATTTGTCTATGACAGAGGTTAAGCTGCTTGAGTGTTTCCGGTCCATTCTGCTGAAGTGGGACGTCGTCTCTGCTGAGTCACTTCTGTACTTCAGTCAGCTTCATTTGATTTATGTGCCTATTAAGAACTTGCAGAACAATTTTGTGTTTCCTTTGGTGTAAGGTTTAATGGTAAAGCCTGAGTAGTATTTCTATTAGCCTCGACAAGTCCTTCTACTGTTTTCTGCAGGAGCACGTGGAGGAAATGAGGCCGGCTGGTTTCAGGCATCCTCCTTTCCAGTGCCCTGACATGAGTCCGTCTCCCAGTGTTCCCACCTCAGGTGAGTTGATGCCGGTCCCAGAGCCAGTGAGTTAAATGCAGTGCTGGGAGGACTGCATGGGTGATCCACGGTCACTGCACTCCCAGGTGAACGGCATATTGAAGTCCTCACTCATCTCTTGTTGTGTTGCAGTGGAGTTTGTGAAAGCAGCAGATATTAAAGCTGTAGCTGCTCTTGGGGATTCACTGACAGTGAGTTTTGTCCAAACTACTTTTTGTCCCTGTTAGGAGTGAGGGGCTGACATACTAAGCGGCTCCGAAGGACTCAAGGAGCTTTAGGGGGAAACCACTTAGCGATGGATTTACACCAGAGTTTCTCAACCTGGGACTCCCTCGAACAGTCCATATTTTTGATCCCTCTCAGCTCCTGGCAGGGAGCAAAAATGTGGACTGTGGCCTGGAGTTGGGAGGGAGCAAAAACATGGACCGTCTGGGGATTCTCGAGGACCGGGTTGAGAAACTGTTTTTCACCATGACATCATGTGTGTGTGTGTCACTGTAGTGTTTTGGCAAGTGTTTGGTCACCTGCAGTTCAGTCATTCTCTCCCGTCAGCCTTTACAGGTCGTACTCAGTACAGTATGTCTGCTTCCTACATGTTAACGTTTGAATCTCTTTTCCCCATTGCAGTGCGGAATAGGGGCTAATGCCTCGAATGTCCTCGGAATTCCGATTGAGTACAGAGACGTTTCATACAGGTGTGACGCTTCCCATTCCTGTGAACTGCTGGCATAAACCACTGAGCTAATGAGTCAGAATAAGGTTCATTGACCAATTATATTCACATGTGCGGGGAAGCGGTCTGCGCTTCTCATTGGCTCTCATACATACAGTAGATACATTGTTAAGTCAAAACAATGATCACATATAATTCTTCTTATATATACAATGTGCATGTGTAAATAAATACATAAAGTGCAGGAGTGAATGTCAGTGCATAGAATGCTGGGATAAATATGTACAACAAAACAATACAGTAAGTACTGTAAGGTACACTGGTGTTAATGAGACCTATAGTAGTGATTCAAACTTTGCGGACTGAGAAACTGGCCAGACCTAATTTATTATCCATTATAAAAACGATTTGAGATAACACATCAGTTTCTTGGTGGACTTTAGTCATCTAATAAAATTAAATAGATCAATTTATTCAAATTATCAGCTGTTTGTACTGAGATGAGTTGTTGTACCTGTTCTGTGTGCGTTCCACAGCATAGGAGGATATGGGACATATGAAGATGTCATTACTCTTGCAAGTATGTGGCTAGCCTGTTAATAATCTCCCTTTACATTCTCTTTGTTATGCTTTTGGGTTTTTGCATATTTCTTCATAATCCAGATACTGACACTAATGCAAAGTCAATAACGGTGCCGTGCTGTGGTATCAGGTCAGCTCCAGCTTCATACTACTTCATTCTCTGATTCTCAGTGCAAATCATTGCTCTTTATTTAGCGGAGATGCTTGTTTTGTTCAGCTGTTGTGATTTTTTTTTTTGGGGGGGGGGGGGCTCTTTGATAAGGAAGTGGTTACATTTCTGGGGTGATTAATGTGGCTGGGAAATATGACAATATTATCGTAGGCTTAGGCTACACACAAAGCAAGATAACAGAAGGATGTATGATTTGGCTTTCAGTTTAGCTTTTTAGCCTATGTTTCCAACAGTGTTTTTTTAAAGACATAGCTATTATTGCATAATATTTAACAAATACTGCCTGTTGCAGAAAAGTGTGTTCACCATTCTTGTAAGTTGGGATGTTCGATGTTGAACCAGGCCAAGCTGTTAATTAGCTTTCAAAAAATACTTGCTTGCTTTGTCGTGCAGAATGTCCTTCACTGAAAAATAAAATGCTGTGTCCTGTATTGATCCAGTATCCCATATTTTTGTACACATCTCTACCCCCCCCCCACATCTAGTCCAGAAATTGACATTATACCTTATCACATTCACCTATTATGTTCACATCGAAAAAATTAGAAATGCCTAAAATGTGAATATTGATATAAAGTGACTATTGACAGTGTGTGTGTGTGTGTGTGTGTGTCTAATTAGTTATACTACATTTATACATAATTTAAGTGCAAATTTAGGTTCAGTTCTGTTGGTTAAATACAGATGGCTTGCTTTTCTTAGGTAACTATCTGGTTCCTTGTATGTACCTCTGCTTAAAATAGATCACAGATCTTGGGGGGGGGGGGGGGTTGTTTCTCAGCATTTATTTGAGGCAGAGAGGTGACCCAGCTCCCTCTTCCCGCTCACACACAGACATCCTCCGACTCTTCAACCCCAATGTGCTGGGCCCGGCTCCCAGGTCGACACTCCATGGCTACCCAGCAACCTTGAATGATACTGGGCTCAACTTGGCCGTCACGGGCCACAACACACTGTAAGAGGGGCTCACACCAGCGCAAATCATTCATGCGTAGAGGCCAGATAATATCATTTTATGTTTAACAATTCAAAAGGTCATAGGCCAGACATGCCCCAGTGTATTCTGACATGTCTATTGGATAAAAATGGCAGATCCATTGTTTTCCTGGGGATGGAAGAACCCTCTGGCTCGGGGGGGGGGGCGGCATCTTATAAGGTTCATGTAAATATACTGGGCTGCCAGAGGGTGGCCTATAATCTTTATGGCTTATGTAATATTTTTAATTTCCCTATAACAGGTAATCACAGCTATTTAAATCCTGTTAGATAACTGATAGCAACTCATGTGTTTCTAAAATCACCCCTTGTATTGGATTAGTCCATCTGGGCAAACAGGCTGGCGCCATATTGCACCCTTCCTGTGCCCTTAGGATATTATCCCTTATTCAGCATTTTTCAGTTCCAGAGATGGTCAAGGGCAGCACATTATCCTGGTTATGGGACACGTGAGGCTTCCAAACCCACAGTGGGTGGGATTACCATGTGTTGTCAGTCCTGTAGGTACTGAGGAAGCAACCAGGAAAAACTGTCTCCCTTTCCCATCAATGATCCACATGAATTAACCACCAAATTCTCACATATCTGAATCTGGTGTGTTGAAGAATAGTGGAATCTATTTAATGCCACATAAATTAATGTTTGCACTATGTTCTTGCTGCTGCATGCACCAGAATTTCTCCTTGGAGCCAATTAAGTTAATTTTGAGCAGGCCCTAAATGTTGAAGAACGTGTGTTTTTCATTCTCAAGACTCTAGTGGTAAATAGTAACTTTTATCTAATTGGTGAGGTTTTGGAACAGTGTAGCTATTTTACCCTGAAGATGCTGTAAATGAAGGCTTCGTGGAATCTGATTCAGAGTAGAAAAGTAAAGTGAACTGATAATGAAGCTGACACTGTGTTGTGGGCAAATGCTTTCCTTCCAGGAACTTCTCTGAGCAGACGAGGAATCTGATTGAGACATTCAAAGTCTATCCGGTGAGAATCACTATCACTATTCAGCCCGTCTGATAGAAGCGCAGTGTGACATCTGTGGTGGACAGTCATCAGCTTGGTGGCATCATGCATGTGCTTTTTCTCCTTTTAGGGTCTCAATTTTCAAGAAGACTGGAAGCTGGTGACCGTCCTAATTGGAATGAATGACATTTGCGATCACTGCAAAAATAAGGTCTTAATCCTCTTTATTAGTAGCAGGGCAAGAGTGAATGAGAAGTCTGTGTTTAATGGCCAATTGCTGTAGGTGGATAATTGGGATTTGTTGGTATAGTGAGGACTTCAGTTTTTGGAGTGTTTCTTCACTGTCAGTATCATGATCACTGTAAGGCTCAGTAGGGCTTCTAGAACCATCCACTACATCATGATGACATTCACAATTAGAGCTCTGTTCCAGTGCTCGATTGATCTAGGGCACAGACTTCCTTAGAAGTTCCCCAGGTGTCTGTCTCCTCCACAAAGAGAACAGAACCATGGAGATCAACAGGTCCTCATGGAAGCCTGAGCAGATCAGTGTAAATTTAGGGCTGTTACTATCGATTATATAAATAATCAAATAATCTACCAATTTAATAATATACTTCATTGATGCCCATGGGAAAATTCTCATTTTGCCTACCCCATCTTGCTCTTTATGACACACGGATGCCTTTGTAGGCGAGATCAAGCTTGGCAGCTGAGGGGAGCCACCCGTAGTGGCACCCATGGAGCTGGGGATTATGGGTCTGGCTCAAGAGCCCAGCGATGTGACTGTTCTGCCAAGGTTCAGCTCGCATCGGTGCCTTTCCAATCACTGGCACAGTGGCTTAGCCCACTTCGCCACACACTGTCTCCAAATCTGACAATTCGAGTAATTGTCTGTATTTAATATATAATGTAAAATAAGCATTGCAATTGGCATGGGGCAGGATTCAACCAGCCGTTGCAGGGTGCAAACTCAGTCAGTTTAGACACTCCAGTTCATTGAAGTTGCATGTTTTTGGACAGTGGAAGGAAACCTAAGGATCTGCAGAAATACCAAATTATGTAAGCTGATGCGGATGAGCAACAGGTTAATCTTAGTTTACGCAGCAATTATTTTGACATGCCAGAATCGTAGAAAGTAAATTATCGCAAAATGATTTAATTCAAATTAATGAGTAAGACGAGCTATGCTACTCTGAGAGGCTATATGGAACATCTATGGTAGCCTCGCAGTATTGGGAGGGTCTGTGAAACCTGAATGTCTTCGTTTAAGATGTTATTGCACTGCAGTTACCCTGTGGTGATATTTTAAGTTCTGCTTCGCAACACTGACAGATTGCATTTTCACGCACTTTTAATTTTGAAGTGCTTCCGCACAACTAAGGCTTTGCTATTTGCGCCATCTTCCTATATGCGCCATCTTCCTATATGCGCCATCTTCCTATATGCGCCATCTTCCTTCTGCCATGTTGCCGAGTAATCGGGAAGGAAAACCTCAATCGATTTTTAATAATTGATTAAATGCGTTAAATCATTTAACCATGACAGCTCTGGTGCAAATACAGTGTTTTTTTGTAGACTCTCTTCTCAGTGGACAATTTCATTCACTACATGACAGAAGCCTTGGACATGCTGAAGGATGAGGTGAGGGGACCTTTGTCTGCTTTTCCCATTCTTCCATCTCCATTTCTCATGATCCTTTTAGCTAGCTGGCTTTCTCCATACATACGGTACCTTCTCTGGGCACAGGTTCCCAGGCTCATAGTTAACGTGGTCCAGATTTTGTCCATGGAACCCTTGAGACAAGTCAAGCGGCCTACCCTAGGATGCCAGCTCCAGAGGTAATAGCAGCCCGGCCGCCCATCCTGCATTTTCCAGGTCATCTCTTACCTCCTCC